CTTTACAGTGGGGCTTGAGTGCTCCCATTGGCGGCTCATTACTTAACTGTCTTTTGCCATTTTAATGGATATCGCTCCTCAGATTGTTGAATACTTAGGATGATCTGGGCACCAAACCGGAACTTTAAATCATCTCTAATCCTTAGAACAATCCTATGAGGTCAATAATATTGCTCCCAATTTTCAGGAAAACAAATTGAAGCTGAGAGATTGTAGTAGCTGAAGTCTCCATGATAAGTGACAGGGACAGAATTCAATTAGTATCACGTATCACATATGTTCTATAGTACAATTTTATTTATATATGAAACAAGGTATCGAAACTGAATTTTCATCCAGACACTAATATTCAATAAATATGATATTTCCAAGTGAGGAATCATTATAGACTTTCAAAGTAAATTCTTGAGAACCATTTCCTGGACGTCTCACCCACTTAGATGACATAAAAGGGTAGAAAAATTAGAGTAAGGAGAATTCTGTGGGTGGGTTCATTTGGGAGAGAGCTGTGCTGGAAGTCCCATTCCGTCTCCCACCAAGTTAGAGCTCTTCTTTCATAGAGCTACTCAGATGTGACCCCTACGTGTGGGAGCTCAGCTGCTGGACTGGGGTCCATTTCCTGCCAGGAAATCAACACAAGAGGGGATGGGCTGGCCAGTGCACTTCTGGGGCTGTCCAGCCCAGGGATGCTGACTGCTCCCTCGAGACAAGATAAGGTGCAAGGCACCCAACAGCAAGCAGCTGGATGGAACTCCTGGAGACTGCAGCAAAGAGTCAAAAGTCACCACCCAAGGAGACTTACAGGGGACTCACCAAGAACTTAGACGGAAGGAGAGCCCAGTAGGAAACTTGTGAAAAGTACACAGAAGACAGTCATAAGTAAGAGAGACAGCCATTCGTATCCACCAGGACTAGGGAATCCACGTGCCACACACGGACAGCACCTCTCTGCTCCATTAGCATCCTTCTCCCCATGGGACCCTGGAAGCATTAGACATGGGGCAACTGGGGGTGGGGGGCAGGAACAAGAGAAGAGAAAAGTAAGGAGACAGAAGTTTCCAGTGAAGCCCATCTTCCCCACAGCATGCTCCCTGTTGGCATCAAAAGGAAGATTTAAAGCCAAATCCAGCTCCAGGTTTTATCTTGAAATGAGTTTTCAAATCACTGCTTTGTTGTTCCATTTCGAAGTCATGTCTGATTCTTTGGGACTCCATGGACTGCAGCACGCCAGGCTTCCCTGTCCTTCACTATCTCCTGAGTTTGCTCAAATTCATGTCCATTAAATCAGTGATGCTGATTAACCATCTCATCCTCTACATTACTGCAATTACTCCATTAGGAACACAGTTTTCAACGAATAGTGACTGTCAAACTGTTAAACTGTGTACAAGCCCCTGTGTCCCTTTTTTTTTTTTTTTTAATTGGGGTAAAGTTCTTTTACAAAGTTATGTTAGTTTCTGCTGTACAGTGAAGTGAATCAGTGAAGTGTATACATATATCCCCACCCTCTTGAACTTCCCTCCCACCCTACTCCCATCACACCCTTCTGGGTCACCACAGAGCAGGGAGTCGAGCTCCCCGCAGTATACAGTAGGTCCCCATTAGCTATCTGTTTTACACCTGGCAATGCACATTTGTTAATCCCAGTCTCCTAATTCATCCCACCCTTTGGGTTCATACATTTGTTCCCTGTGTCTGCATCTCTATTCCCGCCCTGCAAATAGGTTCTTCTGTACCAGATTTTTAGATCCCCCATATATGTGTTGATATACATTTATTTTTCTCTTTCTGGCTTCACTCTTTGTAACAGACTCCAGATCCATCCATGTCTCTATGAGCGATCCAACACTGTTCCTTTTAACGGCCGAGTAATATTCCATTTTATGTGTGCCACTTCTTCTTTATCTATTCCTCTGTTCACGGACATTTAAACTGCTTCCATGTCCCAACTACTGCAAATAGTGCTGCAATGAACATTGGGTGCATGTGTCTATTTCAGTTATGACTTTCTCAGAGCAGATGCCCAGTAGTGTGATTACTGGGTCATATGGTAGTTCTATCTTTAGTTTCTTATACTTCTCTCTATAATGGCAGAATCAATTTACATGCCCATCAACAAACTAAGAGTGTTCCCTTTTTTCCACACCTCTCCAGCATTTACCATTGTAAGTTTTTTGAAGTAAAAAGCTGACTCAAGAGTTATTAATTGGGGAATGTGAAGATATAGAAACAAAGAACAGCTGTTGGGCTGGAGAACTGGATAGTGAGTTAGACTATAAACCTGCCAAATAGCAGAAGCACCAAACTCACAGTCACTTGAATGATACAGATAAAGGCCTAAGTTGTTTGTACAGGAAGCAGACCCCAACCAGATGAAAACTCCTGAGCAAAAGAACATAAACCCTAGACTGGTTGAAGCCAGAAAGTTGATGATGCTTGAAACTTTACCTTGATGTCAACCAATCCAAGAACTGTGCAAAAGTTATTATTCACCCTGTAGCCCCCTCCCTCATACTGTCTTTAAATCCTTCCCTTCCTTGAAACTATCAGGGAGTTTGGGTCTTTTGAGCATGGGCTGCGCATTCTCCTTGCTTGGTGTCCTGCAATAAATCCTGTACTTTCCTTCACCACAACCCCTTGTCAGGAGATTGATTTTATTGTGTGTGGGAGAGCAGGTCTAAGTTTGATTCAGTAACATTGTCTTGTACTAGGAATGAGCAGAAAAGTCATGGCACCTGCCAGCATTCCCATACAGAAACAAGGGAAATAATTTCCACTGAAGAAAACACTCAAGGGGGCAAAAGAATTTTTTATGTCATGAGCTGCCCCTGTTCAACATACTGGTTGAACACATTGGTTTTATTTATGGACATCTATCTGGCTGACTAGGACTCTGCTCTAGGACAGGGCCTACAGTTTGTCTCCATAATATTCTCAATTTTAAATATAACACTTGGCACATAGTAAGAGTTTATCAAATGCCCTCTCCATTGATCACACTGGGACAAATATCAATAACCTCAGATATGCAGATGACACCACCTTAATGGTAGAAAGTGAAGAGGAACTAAAGAGCCGCTTGAAGAAGGTAAAAGAACCAGTGAAAATGCTGGCTTAAAACTCAGCAGTCAAATGGAAGTAACCTAGATGTCCATTAGCAGATGAATGGATAAGAAATCTGTGACTCATATACACAATGGAATTTTACTCAGCTATTAAAAAGAACACATTTGAATCAGTTCTAATGAGCTGGATGAAACTGGAGCCTATTATACAGAGTGAAGAAAGTCAGAAAGAAAAACACCAATACAGTATGTTAACACATATATATGGAATTTAGAAAGTTGGTAATGATGACCCTATATGCGAGACANTGATGTTGAATTTGAAACTCCAATACTTTGGCCACCTGATGGGAAGAGCCAACTCATTGGAAAAGACCCCGATGCTGGGAAAGACTGAAGGCAGGAGGAGAAGAGGATGACAGAGGATGAGATGATTGGATGGAATCACTGACTCAATGGTCATGAGTTTGAGCAAACTCCGGGATAGAGTGAAGTACAGGGAAGCCTGGCATGCTGTAGTCCAGGAGATCGCAAACAGTCAACACAACTGAGGGACTGAACAACAACTGACCACACTACCTAAGGAAATGGTGGATGAGCAAGGAAGATCATATTTCCATCTGATACCTTCATTAGCTTATCTGAAGCTGTCACATCTTGTGAAACATTGGAAAACAATTTATCTGGTTTCTATTTTAATAAAATCTGGCAATGACATCTTTAGGCATCCAATATAGCAATGACTGAGGTTATTTCAGGGCATTCGCTTTCCCAAATAGTATTTTGTTGTTGTTTAAAATAATTTTCGGAGCACTCCATATTAAATATTTTGTATTAAGTTTTCTCTGATATTTCTAGAGGGCACATAAGAGAAACAAAACCGAGTAGAAAGATAGGTAGATAGATAGATTTTAAGCAATCGGTTCATTTGAAGGCAGCTGGCAAGTCCAAAATCCACAAGGCATTATGGAGACCCGGGGAATAGTTGATGATGTTTAGTCCAAATTTCATAAGGCAGCAGTCTGGAATTCTGTGTAGTCTTGAGGAACATTCCCTCTTCTTCAGAAGATCTAGCCTTTTTTTCCTCTTAAGACTTTGAACTGATTGGTTCAGTTTCACCCAAATTGTGGAAAATAATCTGCTCTACTGATTTATTAATAATCTTCCCAAACCAGGAGTAGAACCTGGGTCTCCTGCCTTGCAGGTGGACTCTTTACCTTCTGAGCCACCAGGGAAGTCTTAGTAAATGTTCATCTCATCTTAAAAAAATTCATTTATAGCAGTATCTAAACTGGAGTTTCATCCAACAACTGGGCAACATGGCCTATCTAAGTTGATACATAAAACTAACCACAATAGGGTAAAAGATTTACCTTATATTTAAGAATATAGCACATTATGGAATAAATATGCCTCTGCCCAGCACTCTTGGGCTAGAGGAAGAAAAAGGGATTTCTCAACATTATCTTCATACATCAATTTGAGATTCTTTCTTTCCTTCTCTCTTTCTCTCTGCAGGCTTTCTAGAAAGCAGAGACTGAGGCAGACTTTAGATGCTTACAACGAAGGGCAAGCCCAGGGCTCTCACGATGAAGGATAATGGGAAGTAAGGAAAGGGAAAATACGATGCTCTGTGGCGGCAGCGTATTACCCTGAAAGTTCTCACTTCACAGCCAGCTAAGAAATCCAGCACATCACTCAGAAGGTTTGCTCACCCAATACCCAGATGGGCAAAGAAGAGAGACTGCCTCAAAGTAGTACCGGAAAATGAGAAGGAAATATCCATCTGTCTGACTCATCCCTTCTCCCACTTCCCACTGGCCAAGACTGACTCCATAAAGAGGTAACCTTAAACACACACTTCCTGATGCATCATCTGGCTCCTTGGTGGCTGCTCAGGAAGCTGGGTGCCAAGGACCCACACCCTGCTTTATGATGTCACATCCATGTACACAAGTGGAGCGGTGACAAGGGTGAGGTATCAACCGGAGAAAAAGAAAGCAGCAGAGGAAGGCATCTGAGAAAACTAAAGTTTGCATCCCAGGACACATCAACTTCAGGGAGTGAATAAAACAGAAAAATACTGAGAAAAGCTGATCAGTCAAACGCTGACCTAATCTGAGTCAAAGCCATAAATGCCTATTTGAAGAGTTTGAGGTGAGAGTTTAGTCCCCAAGGGTTAGGGGGAAAGAGCTTTGGAGTCAGATGAGCCAGAGTTTAAACACAAGCCCTACCCCTTTCCAGCTGTGGCCCTGAGTCCCCTTCATTTCTCAGTCTATAAACTCAAGAGAAATCCCGACATCCAGGACTGTTCTGCAGATTACATAAAATCGTGTCCCTAGACTGACTCAGAGAAATGCCCCATAAGGTTACGATTTCTTCCTTTTCCTTCTTATTTTATCCAATATTCTTCATCTGCTCTAACAGTAAGATATTCACGGGAGGACTTTTAAAACCTGAAAAACTATTCACTATCCCTTTAAAATCTCATAGATGTGTACATTTCGGGTCAAAAGAAATACGGGAATCCTGTAAAGGAGTTATTAGCTACGCAGTATGAATTTTAATGAAGTTTAATTTTAGAACAGTTTTCTGAACATATTCTTAACTTTTCATCACTCAACAAATATTTGTGAAGCATCCATGTGTCAGGCATAGATTCATAGGCTGTGTTTTGGTGAAGTTATGCTGTTGGAGGTAGACATTTTTAGAATCCAATGTGGCAAGAAGAACATCATTTTGATAATAGTAAACTGTTAAAGCAAATCCCACTGGTCTTTTTGCAGCCCGTGTAGTAGGTCTGGGGATAGTATTAGTGGGGGAAGGGGCAAATGGTAGCTGTAAGTGAGGAGGTGGCTCAAGTCACATAGAGGAACATGTTCACCTGTGCCTTGCTTTAGTACATGCTGTTTCCACGAACCAGATTTCTCTTCCTCATCCTTAAAGCAAAATCTCCTCTAGCAGCTGTCCATTCCCTTCCTCTATCATCACTCCAGTTTGGTTCAGACTCCTGTCCTCTGCCCTTCTCCACCACAGCACCTATTACACTCTGTTGCTGAGTAGCTGCTGATTTTCTGTTCTATCTTACACTGGAGAGAGGGCTCCTTGTGGATAGAATTGTCCCCACTTATCTGGCTAAGTCTACCTGACACAGAGGTTGGTACATGGTGGACACCCAGTGGAGAAAGAGTAGGCGCAAAAGAAGAAGGAAACCTCAAGACATGGAAGCAATCTAAATGTCCATCAACAGACAGATGGATAAAGAAGATGTGGTGCATATATACAATGGAATATTACTCAGCCATAAAAAGCATAAAATATTGCCATCTGCAGCAACATGTATGGACCTGGAGATTATCATGCTAAGTGAAGTAGGTCAGAAAGAGAAAGACAAATGCCATAGGATATCATTTATATATGGAATGTAAAATATGACACAAATGAACTTATCTATGAGCCAGACTCAGACATAGAGAACAGATTTGTGGTTGTCAAAGGGAGGAGGATGGGGGAAGGATGGAGTGGGAATTTGGGGTTAGCAAATGCAAACTATTATACAGAGACTGGATGAACAATAAGGTCCTACTTTAGAGCTCAGGGAACCAGATTCAATATCCAGTGATCAGCCATAATGGAAAAGAATATGAAAAAGAGTGTGTATATATATATATATATATATATGTATATATATATATACATATATACTCTTTGCTGCAACAAAAATTAAATTACAACACTGTAATTCAACTATATGCATATGTGCTCAGTCATATCCAACTCTTTGCAGTCCTATTGATTGTAGCCCACTAGGCTCCTCTGTCCATGGGTTCTCCAGGCAAGAATACTGGAGTGGGTTGCCATTTCCTACTCCAGGGATCATCCCCACCCAGGGATTGAACCTATGTCTTTTGCATTGTTAGGCGGATTCTTTACCACTGCACCACATGGGAAGCCCTACACTTTAGTAATATTATATATAAGGAGCCAGGTCTTTGGGATATGATTTCTAACATACACGTTGATTTTATTATTATTAGCATTCTTCATCTCCTGATTGAAGACAAATATCATGGGATTAGCAATCGAACTAGTCAAATCCCTGCTTTGCCACTTGGCACCTGTATGAACTTTAACAAGTCACTTTCTTCTCGAAGTCTCAGTTTCCAGAGCTGTGAAGTGGGACCAATCAAAACTATCTCACAACTAGAAATAACTCACTAATCAAGTTCCAAAATGCAGCAAGTGCTCAACTCCGGTGAGCTGCTATCACTGGGACTCAAGGTACTGTGAAGTTTAGAAGTCTAAAAGAGCCCAGTCATGAGTTCCTCGTAACAAGCTCATAACTGAAGCCGGTGGAGCAGATCCCAGATGTGTCCAAAGCCTGTGGAAATTTACATTATGGAGCAAACGCTTCCACTTTCTGAAGATCAATATTAACCCAGGGATTTCTTTTTTTTTTTCCCCCCACACCAACATTAGGCTCTGCTCAGCATTCCCAGAGGGGAGCAGTACTTAGATAATTCATCTTTAATCATCTGCACTGCACAAGAAAAGCTTTTTCTTATCAAAAGATGGAATAGCAGAAATGAGGGCGGGAAGAGGAAGGGAAGGGAGTTTTGCTGGCTTTGAACCTGAGCCATGGCCTGCACTCAGGGAGAAAAGAGTAACCTCCTGGTTTTCACACGGGGTGGGGCTGGGGGTAGGGGTGCGCCCACCCTTGACCAAATGAGCTGTGTTTCTTCCCTTTATTCACCCATCCATTTATTCATCTCCTAACACTTACTGACTGCCCTTCACCAGGCTTGCAGTTGGTCACCAGGAACAGTGTTAAATGAGACCCAACTTTTACCCTAATTAGCTCATCATCCAAAACAGGCATCCATGAACTGTTCTAATAAAAAGGTCAGAGAGCAAACTGTTTAGACTTTGCAGGTCACATGGTTTCTGTTGCAACTACTCATTCCGTCCATTGTAGCATGAAAGTACCTAGAAACACCAAGGAAATTAACGGGCGGGGCTATGTGCCAATAACCCACGACAAGAAGCCCAGGTTTGCCCACCTCTGCTCTAGAGGCAGAGCAAGCAACAGGCAAATAAATACAAGTCCTTTAATTGTCCCAGGGCAAGAGCAGACAGTAGCTTGGACTGGAGATTGGGCATGAACTAGGAGAGATGTTAAAATATTTGAGGAACTTAAAGACTTATGGGAGAAAAGTCATCAAGGATGACGCCTAGATTTCTGGCCTGGATGACTGGGTGTTGCCACTTACCGAGGCTGCCCCGAGGGGAGGGTCATCCAATCAGTGTCTTGCAATCTTTTTTTAAAAATTATCACTCCTCAACTGGAGACTTTTTAGACATTATTTTCTTAACCACCTCGCCCCATAAATTCTAATACCACCAATGTACTATATATATTTGTTCACTGATGTATATCTTGCTTTATACATTACAAAGAGCAAGAGGCTTTCCCTTGCCCCTCAAGAACCAATTTTCATTTCCTTGGGAGCAAGTTTGTCCCTGATCAGAATGCATGGTCTGGCTCTAGGAAGGGTGACTCCATCTCCTATCTAGCCAAAGTCTTCTGGGATAGAACAGAAGGCCTCCTGGGATGGCCAGAACATCCAGAGGAAGACCATATTAGAACACAGTAGGGCAATGCCACATCCCCAGACTTTTGTACCTTCTGAACCTTCTGGGATTACTTTGCCCCAGATTTTCACACAGCCTTCGACCCACTTCCCTGGCGGCTCAGATGGTAAAGCATCTGCCTACAATGTGGGAGACCTGGGAGAAGGACTTCTTCATCTTCTGGAGAGACTTCTGGAGAAGGAAATGACAACCCACTCCAGTGCTCTTGCCTGGAAAATCTCATGGACGGAGGAGCCTGGTAGGCTACAGTCCATGGGGTCACAAAGAGTTGGACATGACTGAGTAACTAAACTTTCTTTCTTTAGACCCACAGTCACAAGGTGATTAAAAAAAAAAAATAGGGTATTCACAATGGGTACCAGAACTCTACTTAGGAAAAGGATTCGAATTGGGTATGGGAAAAACACCTAAGGGCTTCCCTGGTGGTTCAGTCAGTAAAGAATCCGCCTGCAGTGCTGGAAATGTAGATTCAATAACTGGGTCAGGAAGATGCCCTGCAGAAGGGAATGGCTACCCACTCCAGTATTCTTGCCTGGAGAATTCCCATGGACAGAGGAGCCTGGCAGGCTACAGCTCATGGGGTTACAAAGCGTCAGACCTGACTTAGTGATTAAAGTCACTTGGGACCACTACCACCAAAAGACCTAACGAAGTGCTTTGGATAGAATGAGACCCTTGGTGTTGGTATTACTGGAGAGGGATGTAGAAAGTATTTACTGTTCTGGAGAAAAGAATGGGGTGGAAAGAGAGGCTAGGGTGAAGCCATCTGGACAGGATGGCCACTTGGAACACATTGACCTTTCACCTCAACCTGCAAACATCAAAGAATTCAACAAGCATATCCAAGATATCCCACATGAGGACATTTCTTGTGGGAAGAATTGAAGAGGCTGAGCTTTGCACGAGAGAGGAAGGCGAAAGAAGGTGAATGCATGAGGGAGCAGCAGGCAGACCCCAAGCAGGTGAGACCAGGAACAGAAAAGTTCTGGAGGTGTCTCGTTTCCAAGGCAACATACCTGGGAGCATGAAATGATCCCACTCAAATTTCCAGGCCCAGGAAGAGGGCCAAGTATTGCTTTCTGTGTCAGCTCCCATTAGCAGGCAAGCCACATAAGACAGCAAAAAGCTAAGCAATCAGGAAGTATTATCTCAGGAATAAAAGGTTCAAAGGGAAGACACCTTAGCATTGGTTCATTCAGGCCTAACATTGTCACCAAGGCATCTTCCATTATTCCTCCGCTATTCTTGTCATGTGGACCACGTCTCCCTTCCCAGGAACCACAGTTATAGCCACAGTCTAGAGGCAGAAGTGTGAGTGATGAGTAGCTGTTGTGCAAAAGTTTTTAAGAGTGAAGAAAACTTCCCCAGGCCTGAACCTGCAGTCCTGAACACATTTCTTAGAATGGATTTATCATAGATCCTTGTCCACAGCAGCCCAGGCAAGAAGAATGGAGTTAACATGATCAGCCAAACCAGTGACTCTCAGAGTGCAGTCCCTAGATCAGCAACATCGGCATCAACTGGGAGCTGGTTAGAAATGCAAATTACCAACCCCAGCCCTGGCCAACTGAATCAGAAGCTCTGGGGGTGGGACCCAGCAGTCTGTGGCTTATGGAGCCCTCCAGCTGATTCAGATGCACCCTGAAGTTTAGGAACTAACCACCTGGTTTAAACTAATAAACATGCATCCCCGTGGATTTGCCTGTCTTGTAGGAGGCTACATGAGCATAAGAGTCTAACTGGAGACAGTCAGTTGCGTGGAGAGCCTGTGATCTCACCACTTTGCAGGGCCGAGATGAGTGAATTCCTCATGGAACAAGTGGACCTGTGAAAGTACCTGGGCTTAAGCGTCTTGCCAAAGACAAGATGGCACAAAACTTTGAAGGAAAGACCTTTGCCCCACATCTATAAAGATTAACAACTACACGTATACTGGTATTCTATAAAGAAAAATAAAATGCTTAAGATATGTTTGTATAATCTTGTTTTAAATGACCAATTACCTGTTTAAATTACCAAACACCTCTCTCTCAGTAACTTATAGAATAAGCAACAACTCAGAAAACCATAATGATGTAGACTATCTAAACAACATGATTAACAAAGCTGATCCAATTACATATATAGAACACTGCATCCACCCATCAAAAAATACATTTTAAGTGCATGTGGATTTACAAAACTAACCATGTTGCTGGATCATGAAGCAAATGTCCACAAATTCCAAAGGACTGAAATTATACTGATAGGTTCTCTGACTGTGAAAGGATTAATCTAGTTAACAATAATCAAAATATTTTTAACCATAAAACAGTTGAAGCAACATGTTTCTTAACAACCCATTGGTCAATGAAGAAATAAAAATCAGAAATAATAAAACATCTTGAGATAAACGTTAAGGAAAATATTACACGGTTGTGGGTCACAGCCAAAACTGTGCCTAGAAGGAAATATATATATATACACTTTAACTGCATACATTTAGAGATAAGAAACTTTGAAAATGAACAATCTGAGAACTCATCACAAGAAGTTAGAAAAAAGAGGGTAAAATTAAGCTCAAATGAAGTAGAATAAAGGAAATTACAGAGAATAGAAGTTAAACAAGATGGAGACGTAAATGAAGCCTTACATGGAAATCACCTAGTGTGTAACCACCTACAAGAAATGAGTAACTATCTTTCATTTTAGTTGGAATGCTACTAGTGTTTCCAGCATAACACTGGTTCTGGAGCTGAGAGAAATATACTTTGTCATGTTAATGAAGAATCAATTGATTTCTATTTCATTAATAAGCACTGAATTGTATAAATGCCTTTTCAACAATCATGGAGGTGATCTGGTGGTTTTCTCTTTATATTGTTAATCAGCTTCCTAATATGAAATCATCATTAATTTCCTGAAATAATACTTGGCCCTCTCATTTGTGAGACTTCAAGTCTTTTACTTTTCACACTGCACTGTAGTCGTTAATAATTTATTTAGAATTTTGTACTGATACTCACAAGTAACTTTGGTCTTTCAGTTTTCTTTTCATCTCAATCTTTATCAGGCTTTAATAATATTAAAGTCACTATTTATTTTTTGCATCAAAGATATTATTATAACTTTTTGGATAGATGTTTCCTTGACATTGATTTAGTTGGCTGTTTCTTCGGGAATTTCAGAGAAATCCCTGACCATTTCTCCCTCCTATGCTCAGGGCTGGCTGCTCTACAGCTCTCTGTCTCAGTCATCAGGCGTTTCCTGTCCTGGCTATCCACTCCATGTGACAAGGCCAGGCCCCTCAGCCCTGGGGTCTGTGAAGTAGCCTGGATGCCTTGCTCTCTTTATGGAATAAGGTGACCTATCCAATTCTTTGGAAAACAGGTTTCTATCAAGAAGCTTCCATCGATCAGTTTCCTCATTTTTCATTTGTTCATTAAATCCATCAGTCCAAAAATGTTTCTTGAGCTTCAGTATTTCCTGCTCAATAGTTGCCAGTCCAAGAAGCAAAACTAACCAGCTGCTCCACATCAGGAGCCAGAAGGACCCCAGAGAACTTGGCATCTCAGTCAGGACTTTTCTATCCCCTCCTTCCTCCTCATGCCCAAATCCTTGGATTTCCTGTCGCAGCTTGGGGTTACCCAGTTTTTGTGGAAACAGCCATTGCCCACGCGGACCGGGAAGCGCCCCCTAAAGTCACTATTTTTGAAAAAGAAGAAAAACATGTTTCTTTCCTTTTCTTTAGGTTAGTTTAAATATCATGGAATTATCAGTTATTTAACATTTTGTTTTGAAGAATTACAGCTTTACAGAAAATTTATTTTTTAAAATGGGCAAATTTACCAAACCTCAGTTTCCCTAAATTTATATGTAATTTTTTTCCAAGTCAGTTAAGAGTAAGTTATAGATATATCCCTTTAACCCTAAAAACTTGTTGTGTATTTTCTGAACACAAGGACATAGTCCCATATAACCACAGGACAACTGTCAAAATCAGGAAATTAACATTGATACAATACTATCATCATCTAATCTATAGACCTGTATTAACTTCTATCAGTTTTCCCAAAAATGTTTCTCATATTTTTTCCTCTAGTTGGCCCAATCCAGCATCACATGGTATTTGTCATGTCTCTCCAGTCTCCTTTAATCTTTAGTCTTTGTCTTTAAAAATCTTTATATATTCAAAGAGTATGGGTTATTTATCTGCTTGTCATATCCCTCAACTTGAGTTTTCTGGTGTTTCTTCATGACTAGATTCAAGTTACGATTATTTTGTCAGA